TATGTCTGCCACAGATTCTGTAACCTTGTGTGCGTTGTGCTCTTTCTGTGTTTTCACATTTCCCTTTGTGAATAAGATTAGTTTTTATTCCCTTTTTTTCTCATTCATACGAGTGCTTTTCAACTCGTTCACAGTCAGTTCAGAAGGTGTTTGATATTTGTTTCCGAGCCGTGTAGCTACTGTTTTTGCTCTTTTTCTTTCTGCGTTGTTTGGCTTCGCCCCAAGTCTCTTCCAGGTGACAGGGTTATCCTTCTGACTGGGCTCCACTTTAGCAAATTGAGGAAAGACACAGAATCATCCAAGTTTGGGACATCAGTGGTGGCGACATGGTTAACATTGCTTCAGTTAGTGGTAGCTGTACCCGTCTTACTACTAGTTCAGGAGCATCTCATGAAGTCTCTTCTCAGCTTCTAGAGTGAAAATCTTCACCTGAGGCGCAGCAGTTTCTTGTAGATCCGTCATGTCCTCTGCAGGATTTGAAACATTTGGACCATGGTGCATAATTAAAATTAACAGGGCTGACCTGGTTGGTAAATGGCCAGTAATTAGTCAGTAAAGCAAAGCCAGCAGAAGCAGGAACAAGCAAGAAAGCATCCACACACAGCAGGAGAGGAGGAAGTTGCACAAGTAGCATAAGTGTATTAATAATAGGAATACCCATGGATGCGAACAAAGCAAGTTTTTAGTACAAGCAGATACTCCACGATGAGTCATGATGGCACCCCAGTTCGACTTTATCCAGCATCAGTGTTTACACACATTAATTGTATTTTTTTCTCTCACCCTGTACAGTATGCCAGCCTCCATATCAACCAGAGAACGGAGGCTACACCTGCCATCCCTCTCCATGCAGACGGCTTACTCACGGCACTGTGATTCAGTACTTCTGCGATGAAGGTTATATCCTGAAGGGAGACTATAAGTTCCGGACCTGTCAGTATGGGAAGTGGGACAACCTCATGCCCATCAGCTGTGTCATGGAGCAAGGCAAAGGTAGAGTCGCTGACACATGTCAAAGCCTGTACCGACTCTCTCACAGGTCAAGACTTTTTTATTGTACGGTCTGTTCTTACTCAGTGTAACTATTCAGATCTCTGCTAAACTCTGTTGAACATGCTTTCTTTATTGCACTTTACTCGATATTCCTGTATAGACAAAGCAAATATAATTACAACTGTACTTTCATCTCTCTTGTAAAGGTTGTGTGAGACCCTCCATGGTGCAGCACGGCTCAACTAATCTGACGGACACCAACAAGAGCCTGTTCCCAGTGAGCACCGTGCTGCAGTACAGCTGTGACCCTGGTTACCTGCTGGATGGACCCAGCACCCTCACCTGCACCACACTGGGACACTGGTCCTCTGAACCGCCTCGCTGTATACGCAGTGACGGTGAGGACAGACTCCTCATTGTTCTGACTGTAATTCTGATTCTGCCTTTAGGCGACGTGAACTCTCCTTACACCTGGTATCAGTGGATGTACTGTAGCCTGAATGAATAGATAGCATCAGACAAAGCAGCTCTACAGGAAGTCAGAGACACATTTTCAGCTTCCAGTTACTGTGATGACAAAAATATGAAGATGCTTGTTTTGTAATTGGCTTCACTTGACTATTAAAGTTTATACTAGATGTTTGTTTTGCTGTTTTTTTTATTCATCACTGATTTGCTCTGCTTTCCCTTCGACAGTATGCCAGCCTCCCTACCAGCCAGAGAACGGAGGCTACACCTGCCATCCCTCCCCATGCCGAAGGCTTTCTCATGGCACTGTGATTGAATATTTCTGCGATGAAGGTTATATTCTAAAGGGAGACTATAAATACCTGACCTGTCAGTATGGGGAATGGGACAGCCAGATGAAGCTGAGCTGCGTCATGGAGCAAGGTAAAGATCAGATGATGCATTTAAGGGTCAGTATCATTATGAAGGGCCTTTTGGTGTCGTCATCAGAATCACTATGTTATCATTAACATGTTCCAACATAATGAAAAGTTTAGCTGTTATTCCAAATGTCCATACATTGACTCACAAATCAGTAGGGCTGGACTCGAATATCCAAATATGCGGGCGCTGTGGTGGTATCCCCCACCCCAAATCCTAACCTTTCCCTCAAAGGCACTTTTTTGGTGACATTGACCCTTAAACTGTTTGGTCTGTAATCCAAAGTTCTGCACAGGCAACCATGTCAACCGTTTGTTTCACAGACAGCAACCCAACTTTGCCGTTACGGATGCCAGCCTTGTCTATAGTGGCGTCCACGGCCAGCTCAGTGGCTTTCATCCTGCTCCTTGTGGTGCTGTTTGTTCTTCTACAGCCAAAACTCAAGACTCTCCATCGGTGAGTCTGCCCTCAGAATCAGTTGTTCGCTGCCAGCTTGTTATAGTTGAAACCAGAGGCTGTGGTTATGGGGACTAGTCATGAAAGAAACTATCCGACAGGTTGACTTTCCTCTTGTCGTCCACACGCAGACATGATCAGGGGGTGTCTGGCCAGCCCGTGTCCATCATGGTGGAGGGAGTCCAGGTGACTCTGCCGTCCTACGAGGAGGCTGTGAGCGGTGGCGGAGCCTCGGCCTCAGCTCTCAGCTCTGAGTCTCGGGTCCAGATCGTGCTGTCTGAGGGTCAACACGCCACAACGCCAGAGGCTGGCCCCTCTAGGCCTTCGTCCCTCAAACAGCAGCAGTCTGAGATGGCTGTGGTCCACCCCGCGCCGCCGTCCTCATCGTCCTCGTCGCCATCATCCTCCACCTGGGTTCTGGAGCATGCAGGTGCCGCAGGAGGCACCTCGTCCTTACAAAGAAGGCCGTCTGCAGGCAGCGACCAACACAGCCTGTCTCTAGACTCTGAGATGGACTACTCTGACGGTAAAGCTAGTTTTTATACACACTTCTCTCCACCTGTTTAAAACCCGTACGTCGTAATAACGCTGACTTTTATCTGCAGATATGCCATTGCTGAAGGAGGCCTGAAACATGCTGCAGCCTTTGGACTTACTCAAGACGACTAGCTTTGCTACTGACCTGTACTGGTGAGCAGGAGTTTGTCAACACAGCTGTCAACATAGAAAAGGCCCGACTGCAGAGGCTCTGAGTGAAGCTGTGGGTCACTCAGAATATTTCATCTGACCATCCCAAAGGAGAACAAACAAAGGCTTCACATGTACATACATGCTTACATTTTTATAGTAACTCCCACGCTATGTTTGTATGTCTCATGTCTGTGGAACAAAGGAACGGGCACTTCAGGAGGAATGTGTCTTCAAGGCTGTTGGAAAAAAAAATGACTGGTGGGTTTCGGCTGGATGAGCAAAAGCTGTAAACTCACTTTGGGAGCTAATCATGTCATCTGTGTCTTGTTTACGGTTCTTTTTCTTTGACCAAACGTCCCGCCATTTATTAAAACATTGGCAAAGATGCATGAAGGCCAGGTTACTAGATTGTCGTCCAGTTTATGTACGCTCACGGCATCGTCTTTAAAAGTTTTGTGATTCTAAATGAATAATTAACCACGACTCACATCATTCCACTTGTCACTGTACAGTATAAGGCTGCTTGTCCGTCCAAGAGTTCACTCTGCCGAGCTGAGGGCCTGCGTTCAAACATATTCCATCCCTCCGAACAGTTTCATATTCAGAGAGATTTCCTTTGTCATACCCTTTCCCCCAATGGCCTTAGCTTTCCACTTCTATGCACAGGTATCTATAATATGTGAAATAAGGAAATTTAAAAATGAATGTCAGTTAAATGCCTCCACCGCTTAGTGATATTAATACGTGGCTTCGTCAGACGCATCACTTGTACACCAGAAAATATTATCTTCTTAATTTATTCAGGCTGCTTGAGAAATTCCTGTTTTAAGTGTAAATGGGGAAATCCAAATGTGTATTTAATTTATTTGTGCCCAGAACGCTGTTGATCAGCCATGGCTTCTGTTGACGCCTCCACGGCTCATGGAAACTTTAAAAAAAAAGTAGGTCTTTTCACTTTTTGCAGCTTCACTTTTAATTCTACCGCAGGCACGTTATATGTGACACTGTAAAAGTGGTTGGGAAGATCCAACGCCAAAAAAAAAAAAGAAAAGAAAAAGTGTACAGATTAGTGTAATGTCAGTGTTCACTTTGTTTGACCGTCCATTGAGTTTACTTTTGGACTGAGGAATGATGGAATTTTTTTGTGAAGATGGTATTTTAATATATGTAAAAAAAATCAAAAAACGTTTTAAGTTATGTTTACTCTGTATATATCATATGATCATTTTGATTAAATATTATTTGAGGTGTTGAAATTGCTCGTATGCTTTTTTTTCTGATTTTCCCCTTATGACACATTACAAAAGGTCTGAAAAAGAAAATGACACATCAGTAGATGATCTCTCCCCAGGACGGTGAACCCACATCCACACCTAGCCACTAGAGACCCTAACGAACCCCACTGTGGCACTAATGGCTCACATAACGAGGGGGAGGAGCAACAAACCCCCAATTCAAACCGTTAATGGCTCCTTAAGGATATCTGGAACTCCCAACTAGTCGGTCAGAACTGATGAAGCCTCTTGGATGAGAGGTGGAACATCTTCAAGGAACTCAAGCAAATCCAGCTGCTAGGATTGATCCACCAGAATAACCACGACCTGGATGACTGAGGGGCTGCAAGGTGGCGCAGTTGGTAGCACTGTTGCCTTGCAGCAAGAAGGTTGCCGGTTCGCGTCCCGGTTCTCCCCGTGCAGCGTGGGTTCTCCAGCTTCCTCCCACACAGTCCAAAAACATGCCGAGGTTAATTGGTGATTCTAAATTGTCCGTAGGTGTGAATGTGAGTGTGCTTGGTTGTCTGTCTCTCAGTGTGGCCCTACGATGGACTGGCAACCTGTCCAGGGTGTCCCCTGCCTTTGCCCTGAGTCGGCTGGGATGGGCTCCAGCCCCCCCGCGACCCTAATGAGGATTAAGCGGTGTATAGAAAATGGATGGATGGATGGATAACTGAGAATCTTCACAGACACGACACATCAGAAATTTGCAATTTTATGAAATTTTTAAAAAACGCTAACACGACTTCAGCCATAAAGTTTCTTACATCAGATATTTTGTGTGCAAATATATATATATATATACATTATAAACATTACAGTTCTACTTCAACATGCACTACTAGGAGTTTACATTGTACAGGCTTGATTAAATAAATAACTATAGTGTTAGTGATTACAAATGATTGGACGGTCTTTCAGACCCCCGTCAAAGGCCTGAGTCACAAATATGCAGGTGACACCGAGGCAGCGAGGGTTCTGACTGGCTGCGCTCCCACCGTGTAGGATCTTTGTATCCCTCTCCAGCGCCGCGTTGTCACGGCTGTTTATCTGTTGAAGAGAAGGTCGACGTTAGACTTTGTGTTGATCTGAATTCGAGTGCGTGTAGCTCGTCCGACCCCTGATCCTAGCAGCGCTCCGTGAAAACAGGCGTGCAGCTGTGACACTAACCCTCGGTATGCGGCTTGAATGTTTGGTAACATCTGAAGGCCAGGGCCAGCAGCAGGGCCTCGGTGCACTGGAATGTGATGTACAGCAGGGGGAAGAGGAACATGGGTCCGATGACCTGCGGAGGAAAGGCCACCTTCAGGATGGCGGTGCACAGCTGGATGTTTTGACACCCCGTCTCCATGGAGATGGTTCTGCAGCATCTGGAAAGCAGTGAGGTATTTTTTTAATCAGCTTAATATACTTGGGTACATTTTGATTTACAGTGTATCCTAAAAATGACTGGAACACAGGATGGTTTGTCCAAATCCATCTCTGCTGTGTGACTGAACATCTCATGTTTATGCATATTGAGAAAGTCGTGTCTGATATATTACTTTAGGACCATATTCAGATACTTTACATATAGAAAATATAATGAATTGAAATTGGCATTTAGTGCACAGTGTTGTAACCAAGATGCACAAAAGTTAAAGTGCTCACATTGCAGAAAAATAAATGTATATGTACTTATAGTTTCATTTACACGTTTTGCTGCTGTAGCTGGTTGAATCAAAGCTAATTTGAACTATTCTTTACACTGCTGGGTTTTTAGGTTTTTAACAGTGCCTCATATTTTTACAAACTCATAACACTGCAACACTTAAATACTACAACCTGTCAGCTTTTTGTACAATACAATTTCCCTCTGAGGTTTCACAAAGCAGAGTTAATTTGTAACTATGAAGTCAAGTATAGTACTTTAATTTTGCCCTTATTGTACTTGAATTAATTGTGGGAAATCCATCCATTTTCTATACACTGTTTAATCCCCACTAGGGTCATGGGGGGCTGGAGTCTATCCCAGCTGACTCAGGGTGAAGGCAGGTTCACCTGGACAGGTCACCAGTCTATCACAGGGCTACACTTAGAGACAGACAACCAAGCACACTCACATTCACACCTACGGACAATTTAGAATCACCAATTAACCTCAACATGTTTTTGGACTGTGTGGGAGGAAGCTGGAGAACCCGGAGAGAACCCACGCTGCACGGGGAGAACATGCAAACCGGCAACCTTCTTGCTGCGAGGCAAAGGTGCTAACCACTGCTCCACCTTGCAGGCCACTGTGGGAAATTTGTCCCAATTCCACACTTTATACAAGATCTACACTGTAAAAAATGTACTTGAGCTGCATTTGAAGTAAAATACATTTTCTTTGTGGTTTGATAAAGTCGACTTTTCTGGATTCTCTCAGTAAAATGACTCTTTGAATCCTTCAAACCGATGTTTTAATTTTAGTAAACGTGCAAAAGATTAGGTGTACTACTCCTTTAGCATTGTGCACGTGATGTCCACGTATTTTCCATTTAGTTAAAGCAAATACTTAAGTTGGAAAAACTAGAAACTTCACATTTACTTTCCCTAAAATAAAGTTGCAACTATGCAAACTCTTGATCTAGTTGATATAACTTAAACCAGTGGCTTTAACATTACTTGTTAACTTCATTTGGATAAACTTAATTCAATTGTGTGTTACCAAACAAAGCAAATCATCTAAGATGGTCTGAAAGTTTTTCAGCGCAATCAGGTTTGATGCATGTGTTTCATTCACACTGGAGAAAAAATGCTGACAGGAGGAGTTTGCTGATGAGACAGAAGCCATGCAGTACCAGATAATTTCATCTCTTGACTTCATTAAAAGTTCTTCAATTAAGTAAATCCCAATAAATCAGAATCACTCTTTGGCTGAACTGTTCACAAATCAGTCTGTTCAGTTGTGGTGTGATTGCTTCATATTCACTACAAGCCAAAAACATGTATACAATTATCTCACATTAAAAAAAAAAAAAACTTGCTTACAGCTGCAAAGTTTTAAAACTTTGTAGACCTTGGCAATGCATATTATTTGTGCTTTCTTTCCGGGACATTTTGTTCCAGGTTTCAGTTTGAGCTGCATATATTCAGGAATGTGATGCCTCATCTCCTCTTGCACAAAGCAGGAAAGGACATCGCATTTGTTGAGTGTGTAGTTTGGCAATGAGACGTGGCTGCAGAGATGCTTGTTCTTGTGTGTTCACCTACCGTGGAGTCTGTCCGCAGACGGCAGACATAACATATCCCAGAATAAAGCCAATCAGTGGCATCAGCGCAGCCACACAGAGGACGTCCGGCACGAAGATCTGCCATATGATGTCTTTGACGAAAAAGCCGGACAGGATGCCGACTGCGATGGTGGCGATGGTCCAGATGGTGAGACCAGCCTGTCAGGAAAACAAAAATACGTTACATCGGTCGATTTATCTCAAACCACAGCATCAAAAATCCTTTTTTCCACTTCACAAATGCAGCAAATGTCATCTGAAAGGTCTGGTTTGAGTTAGCAGTGAAACTAATGATTTCCTATTGCTCAAACATTACTTTTTAATCACAACCACAAACGACATCCACGCGATTTGATGACCAGTTTTTCGTAAATGCAGCTCGTTGACCTTTCCACAGAAGACATAAATAAAGAGTCACACTGTAAAACCGCAAAAACACACAATCACCAAATAGCTGCTTCATGTTCAGAGTTCTGGTTTTGTTCAGAGCATCTGTAGGGTGCATGCTTTCCCTGCTACGACAGGTCAAAACAGATCATCTGTTCTCCTGTTTCATTCCAGGAATCTCACTTTGGTGACAATCGGTGAGTAGTTTGGTCTGTAGTGATTGATCAGGATGCCGATCGCGCAGGGCACCAGGATGAACGAGAGACTGATGATGATGCCGACGTACGGCACGGCCTTTTCCAGACCGGGGAAGCCCTGGGAGCAGATATACAGCAGCAAAGGCATCAGACCCAGCGCCGCGATGCAGGAGCAAGTGGTCATCACGATGCTGGAAGAAGAAACATTATTTTAGACTATGTGGAAGGCTAAACAATCCACTTGTTTGGTACAATGGCAGCCATGTGGTACGACAGCAAGTTGTGGGTATGGATCCATTTACCTGAGGTTCATGTCACCCTGTAGGACCAGAGCAAAAATGTTTGAAACGCTTCCCCCCGGACAGCAGCCGCAAATGAGCACAGTAATGGCCTTTATGGGATCCATGTGCAGGGCTTTGGCCAGGCAGAAAGCAGTGAAGGGCATGATGCCGAACTGGGCCAGCAGGGCAATGACGACTCCTTTTGGCTTCAAAAGATGAACCTTGATTTTAGAGATCTCCATCGTGCAGCCGAGGGATATCATCGTGATGAAGAGGATGACGACCACTAAAATATTAATGGATTTGTCGAGCAGCGTGGAGCTGCCCGGCGTCCCAATGGTTCCATTGCCGGACACGTTGTAGACTTCGCTCCCGTTCATGGTGGCACTGATCCCGACGCTTTGTTTTTATTGTGCTGCGGCTTTCACCTGTCACACAAAGCAGATAGAAGATTTGATTAGTTGCTTTTGTTGGTGTCTTATTTAAGGGTTTACATTTCACCACTGATAAAACCCCGAAAAACTCATCTCGTTGTATCAAAATTATACATTTAGAAGTTTGTTTCCTATAAAAACAACCCTTAAACTGGCTTGTGATGTAGCACCAGTCCCTGCCTCTCTCTCCATGCGCTGCCTTGCCGCTCGCTGCACTTCGAGCACACCAGCTCACCTCCGACTCAAACACTGTAAAACTAATCTAAGTGTTTTTGAGACCGCCGTTAGTAAACTGCAGTTTTAAGGTGGAACTATTCAGCCATGTTGGTGCATCTTCTAGCACACATAAAACCACCATGTGGACGTGTTAACGAGAAAAACAACAAAACAAGAGCAATCAATCAAAACAAAACAAACATTTTAGCTTGTCTTCAAGAACTGGAAATACCACCTTGCAGTTGTACGCCTCTGCCAACCACTCAAACTGTGATTTACACATAACGGTCACAACATTCACAGCGTTCCTTTGTGTTCTTGAGTTACAGCGTTGTGTAATTATGGGGGTACTAATGCTGCAAAACTATCTGTAAACATGTATGGAGAGTTGTTTGTCTGTAGTGAGATGTGTGAATGTGTGAAAGGGAATTGTAAAAGATTCGTCAATGTAGGGCTGCAAGGTGGAGCGGTGGTTAGCATCGTTGCCTCGCAGCTTGAAAGTCGCCGGTTCGCGTCCCGGTGGGGGCACTGGAATCTTTCTGCGCGGAGTCTCCATGTTCTCCCCGTGCAGCGTGGGTTCTCTCCGGGTTCTCCAGCTTCCTCCCACACAGTCCAGAAACATGTTGAGGTTAATTGGTGATTCTAAATTGTCCGTAGGTGTGAATGTGAGTGTGTTTGGTTGTCTGTCTCTAAGTGCAGCCCTGTGGTGACCTTCATCCTAAATCAGGTGGAATAGGCTCCCGTGACCCTAGTGAGGATTAAGCGGTGTATAGATAATGGACGGATTCGTCAATGTGTAAAAAGATTTGCAACTTATCTGTAACCTCTGGGTTTCTGTTCCCTGAGCTCAGGCTCACAGGATCGTTCATTTTGGCTGCGTACCACTCTGCTGTTCTTTACCTCAGTAGTTGTGCCGCCTGAAGTTACAGATACGAATCTCTCAGTGCAGCAAAATGTTTGAAAAGACAGCCAATGGTGAAGCCTGCTTGACTTGTAACTGGTGACTTGTCTGTATTTCCAGCACTTGTAGCCAAATACTTAGACTTGTCATCTGTTAATATCTTTGCACGCACTGACAAATCTTTTTACACCTCAACGAATCTTTTAAGAATCTTTTTACACGTTCCCATATCTTACTACAGACACACAGATTGAGACACACAACTCTCCATTTACAAATAGTTTCTCTACAATAATAACCCCATATACAACGATCAGAAAGCTGTTTCAGTGGAACATAGGGATCTAACAGTGAAGTTGACCTTTGTTCATTTGGATATGAACATCTTCCTCATTTTATGATATTTGTGTGATTTTTTTCCCCAGAATTTGCACATGAAATCCAAATTTGAGTCTTAAAAACGATGTGTTGTCTGGTCACTTTGTTCACCAAAAACTCACCAGTTCATCTCTGAGCTGAAACATGCGACTTTACTGTTAAAGAAGCAACTAAATAATTCCCCCAAAGTATCTGGAAGCTGTAGCCGTTTGCAAACATCACTCTAGATGGCATAAATTCTGCATTACTCGTTGGCTATTTTCAGCTTTCTCATGGGATAACTTGATTTTTGGCTTTTGGATTTCTTCGATTACTGTGTGCCGCAGGACCAGCCGACAAAAGACACTTCTAGACACGTTGGCGAGGAACACTTAGTATTCATGTCATGTCCTCTCTAGCGAAGAAAACAAGCCGTTACTTTACTACGTCCACAGTGAGTAGAAGTCGTGATAATGCGGAACAAAGGAGTCACATCCTTGAATAGGAGTGGAAAAACAAGCGTAAAAAGTAAAATCTGCATTATTTTCTATTCAATAAGACGTAAAGTAAACATATTATTTGGGATTTAGGGGTTGGATTAAATGTAAAGTTGGATTTAGGCTTTTCCTTTGGTAGAACAGCAAGAGAAGATGAAGTTCTTAAAGAGGAAGAGGAACCAGCATGCGATTTATTTGGAAGAAAATGGAAAATGTTCTGCTTCCATTATTGTTTTCATATTGTGTTCTTGCATAACCTGCTATGCATTGAACTGATTGTTGCCATATAGAGCCGTTGTTATGGGTTTGCATCTGGGGTTTTATTACATCACATTTTACAGCCGCCATACGAGGCTGACTTTATTCTAAAGCCAACTTCTTCTGGATTGTGGCCAAATTTTAACGTCTCACAGACCACCGCTTTGAAATAAAATTCCATCAAAGCACACCATGTTGTGAATGAGTGCTAACGCTGACATCAGGATGGACTGAAGTCCTCTCCACTGACAAGAAGGCATGTCTGTTACTGATAGCTCATTCTAATGTTTGGTCACTGTGCAAAAATTTGACTCCAGAAGACCAACATGTCTAGCATCATGACTTCAACATCACAGCTGCTCTGGATGCAACAGTTTTATTTACACATAAACTTGGGTAACAATTTTGCTTATGATATTTTCTGGAGGTTTTAAAAGCCGTTGAACCCAAAGATAAAAGATGTCAGTAAATCTGAAGGTAATAGGAGGGTTAAAGGAGTCGACATCATGTTCAGATTTAGTTTTTCAAACACCAGTGGGACTTTTTTGAGTTTCTCTCATCAGACATGAGTTACTCGTCCAAGCTTTCACGTGTCTGCATAACATCCGATCTTCAAGAGAAAGATGCTTTTCTAAGCAACCAATCTGCAAACCTCAAGTACACGCTGTTAAAATGCTTTATGGTGAAAAGTTGTTGTTAAAATGTAAATTATTGCTTCATTTGCCAGAAGAAGTGCAAGTTAACAACTGTATGTGTAAAAATAAAACCTTAAAAACAATGTAATCATGTACAATCCTCAGTCCACACGTGCTTTTCTGGATCTAATTTATAGTTAATCATCAGAAAATGTTCAAGATGTACGACTTGTTCCCAAAGTGAGACGGAAGTCTGCTTTACATGCTCCAACTTTAGACAAATGTTTTCAAAAGCCTTCAAAGGAAATATTCCTTTTTAGAGATCATGTGGCTGATTTTTGTCTCTTATTGTAACTGGCACATCTCCAGAACACAATCCTCTGTGCAGCCTCATACAACTCATCCATTCATGCCTCAACGAACAAACACACACAAAAGAGCCTCACTGTTGCTCTACATAGTCCTGCATCACAAATGTGGTTTACTTCAGCACAACTCCACAACTGTGTTCCATATAAACTGGAGCCACTCGTCTCCAACATCTTGCAACGGTCGGCTCCGCGATAAAGACTCTCACTTACCTTCATTTCAGGCCAGTGGCTCCGGCTTCAAACACCCACACACACTTGTTCCTTTCTCGCCTCACATTCTCCTGTTCAGCTCCTTTTCTCTGTGTTTGAATCCCCGTGTCCTCCCCTCTCCGTCACATGGCCTCATGACAACATGGTAGGTGTAAACACTGCAAGCTGCCCCCCCAAAAAAGCAAAAAGCACCACTCTCTACTGGATTGCACAACTCTCATGTGGTGCACAGACTTCCAGAGAATCCAGTTTTTTAATGCAGTTACTGGAAGTGATCCTGCGCTCTCGGCAACGCGTTGCCCCCTCGTTTCGTTTGCAGGGCACCGTGGGAAAGTTTGACATCAGCCGGCTTGATAATGTGGAAAGAATGCAATTGCTTCTGTACGCGTAAAAAGAGGCACTTTTTCATTTGGCCTCGCTCGCACTTGTAAACAGGCTGTTAATTAATATTATGCAATCAGGCAGAGGATGGAGTTTGCCTGGCAGGAGTTATCGGTCTTCTCAAAAGGGGGCCTTTTTTTTTAATTGCGAGGTGCTTTAGTGAAAACAAGGAACCAACTATGTAACACAAGACTGAAATGCTGTTGGCCTAATCTCTAAAGTATGCTGGAGATTAGGTTGAAATTAAAGGGGGCTGCCTCACGTACGGCCTTTCAGTCCAACAAGCTGAGTTGTGGAGCTTCTGTCACCGACGTCTGGGTTCCCAAACAGCATCAACATGAAGCAACTAACCCACTTTTAAACATAAACAGGCCAAGGTTAAGGTTTTGAGCGATTGTTGAATTGTATCGATCTTGTTTTTTAAATCATTTTTAATAGGTTATGGCAACAATATGATATCAAGCTCATTTCGCTGTAAATATGTAGTCTGGAATCATGGTGGTGGTGGAGATAGTGGCTTTTCATGTAGCTAACATTGCGTACTGATATGCAGTAATCTGTTGTGATGTAATGCACTGGAGGTAAAGTGACATGCTGTTTTAACTTGTACAAAAAATGTTGTGGAGCAACAAGTAGTGAGTAAACAAGACGGTTACATGTGAATGTGAAGTGCGAATAGTGGCACATACTGTAGGCCATGTCCATCAAAGGTCCCATAAGACTTTTTTTTAAATTTTTTTTGATATTTTGTGGTTGTTATAAACTTGAAAATGTAAAAAAAAAAAAAAAAAGATGTTAGGACCTTTACGTCTGTCATTTCTTAAGCTGTCAATGATAAGATTGCCTCCAGCTTTACAAGCCAGTGAAGACTTGACACAGTTATTGCGTAACACCTACCTGATTGTCAATCACAGAGGCAGACTGAGTGTTTGATCTGAATTCCAGACCTCTGATATCCCTGTTCCGTGTCACTCTCTGACCGGAGTCCTCCATCGATGAAGAAGCCATCCTCGCGTTCCTGAGAGGACATACAGTCGTCCTCAAATTTTTTCATACCATTCCATTAAAGAAAAGGCAAAATTCACAATAGTCACTCAAATAACTTCCATCCATCCATTATCTATACACCGCTTAATCCTCACTAGGGTCATGGGGGGCTGGAGTCTATCCCAGCTGACTCAGGGTGAAGCCAGGTTCACCTGGACAGGTAACCAGTCTATCACAGGACTACACTTAGAGACAGACAACCAAGCACACTCACATTCACACCTACGGACAATTTAGAATCACCAATTAACCTCAACATGTTTTTGGACTGTGTGGGAGGAAGCCGGAGAACCCGGAGAGAACCCACGCTGCACGGGGAGAACACGCAGAAAGATCCCGGTGGCCCCACCAGGACGTGAACCGGCGACTTTCTTGCTGCGAGGCAACAGTTCTAACCAACTGCGCCACCTTGCAGCCCGAAATCATCTTTTTGAGAATGTTAATTATATTCAGTTTATATGAATTAAACCATGGAATTGGGGTCTTGTCTGATTAAATCTGTTCCTGTTTATTGCTGTTTTTGACAACTATTTGTACTTCTAAGGTAAAGTTTTTTTTTTCTTTCTTTCTGTCTTTTTTAAAATTTTTATTTTTATCTGGTCTCTCATCTTACTACACAGTGTTTCCATTGATTTCAAATTGTATTTCCTTCCTCAAGCCAGTTAAAATGAATTTTATTAGAAAAATATGAATTCACATTTTTATTATTGTTGTTGAGTATAAAAGTAGGAAGCCAATGAGACAATAACCTAAAGAATCATCTCATTATATCGATTCATGAAGCTCTACTGTTGCAGCTACCGCTCATCTCATTCAACATTTCAGTCTTGTAACTACAGCACAGCATCCAGAAGCTTCTTAACCTTCGATATTATGGAGTATTTATGTACCAACAAAGTGCACAATGAAAATGATGATTCTGTCAAGGAGGTCAGCTGATTTAGGCAGCCTCGTTTTGTAAAACTCTGCTGCTTTGACGAATGTTTTACTGGAAAAAGTGAAGAGCAGGAGACAAAATTTAAGCGGTTTGCAGAACATGGGGGGACGTCTTTTAAATCTGTTATTTAAGCTTAAAAATCAGAATCCCAATACGTTTTATTGCCAAGTAGGTTTTCACATTCAAGGAATTGTGTCTTGGTGTTTTGGTGCATAACAGTAAACCCTGACATGCACAACATTTAAAGAAGGATTGGATTGTTTTTAGAAAAGTAAGTGCTGCAGTTCAAATGAAATTAAAAGCAAATATAGCAAATCAAATCTATTATAAAGGAATAAAGCAATAAAAATATTTGCAATGTTAAGTGAGACAGCTTCACAGATTGTACAGGAATGTGCACAATCACACAATATGTGGTGTTAACAAGCTGAAATATTCACTGTGTTAATGTAATACATTGATTAAAGGCTCTGATGGGGCAGAGAGGTAATGTCACTGGGCTCTCTGGCCCTGTTGATGAGGCATTTTATTTAGTTTAGTTCCTTCCTGATAATAATTCCTATCTTTGCGGTGCTGCAGGAGGCTTATAAGCAGTGATATCTTGCTGCTGAATCTATTTAAAGGTCTTGTGGAGGAAAATGAGCAACTATGGATGGTAGCTGGGGGGGAGGGCAGCTGAAGTGAGCTAGGCCACCATCTGGCCTCATAATCATACGCTGGGAGGAGAGCACGAGCGTAGATGTTGGAGCACTGCTAACAAAACAGCAGACAGCAGTAACAATGCATTTCATAGTGCAGCATCATGATTTGCATTCAGAGTATATTTTTAGCCAATATGTGGCATCAGATGTGATTATACAGGTTTAGGGCTTTGGAAAGTTATTTACATTAAAATACAGCCCATATATTTAAAATGTGTTTTGTAATATATTTTATTATTGTACAATTGTAAATATTGTAGTCCAGTGGAGAGAGAACACTGCTGGTCCTGAGGCTGCTGTGTTTGCAACTTGTATGAGATAACGGTATATTTCAGTGGGCGCGTCCAAAAAAGTGGACTTGTGGGAAATGTAGTCCAATTTCCTGGCAATGACTCCAACGCAGAGCGGTGCTTCGTCACCGAGTTACCTCATTTCCCAGAAGTCCCTGCCCTTTTGCGCCTGCGCCGTGTGTGTTTTCCCGTCCATGTGTAGGCGAATCACGTGTAAAGAACGCGTCGATCGTCATGTCTCTGCTGTAGCAGAGCTCCGTGCTAGGTTTTATTATTTGCCTCCAGTTGTCGCTGCACTTTGTTTTGACAGCTGCTTGTTTTCTTTTCTCGTACATTTTTACCGAAGAATGAGTGAAAACGATGACATCGAAGTCGACAGCGATGTATGTGTTTTAGTTTCCTCTAGAAGTAGCTAGCCCGTCTGTTAGCCAAACAGCAACTTTAACATTCCTGCCAGCCTACGCTGCTATCTGATTGTGCTAGCCAGGCAGCTAGCTAGCTAGCTAGCTGGGTCTCTCGGCTAGCACTAGATTTTGGAGACAAACGGGGACACGGAGGGTTAGAAGAAGAGTTTATTGGAGTTCTAGGTTGTTGGTTTGTTAATAAAAAGTCCAGCACATGAGTTTGGCGGACAAGTCTGGTCGCTTAGCTGCGGTGAAACTGTACGACATTGCTTGTTCCTTTGAGGCAGCTCAGCTCAAGACAACTTGTTTAATAAATGTACATACAGGGCTGCTTCTGGTCGGCGCTGCGTTCAACTGGAGTTCAGTAAAAATGCTCTCGAGTTAAATGCTGTGTTAAAGTTGGAGCTGCGGACGTGTTGAAAAATTGATGCGACGATCATAAACAGCAGTTAAGCTTGTTGCTGTAAGCAAGGTCAGCTCATCTGAGAGGTGAACGGCGAGGTTGGAGCAGCTCGTTCCCGATTCACACAAACTATCGCATGTGTACAGGAGAGCTTTGTGAATTATAGTCCGTTTGCTTTTATTATAAATGCAAGGACGTGTTTATTTCATGCATCAAACGGGTAATCCCTTCACGTCAGTCCGGCTATATTTAGCAGACCTGATGGATAGCTAGCCGGTTGAAATGTCCCAACCCCCTCCGGATTTGTTTATGTCTTTCAATTTGAATCTTATTTAAATCGTGCATATAGTCAACGCAGCAAACCAGGCATACATTAGCCGATGTTGTGCTCATCGTATCTGTCGTATTCCCAGACCTGCTTCCACATTAGCTTTGCACCGCAGCTCCCTGTAACGCAACCAGCAGATTGTTTTCCTGCTGCTGCTGGATCGCAAAGCTCGTCTCTGTTTCCCTGCACTCCTTACTGGACCTTTTTAAAAACAACATTTGCAGGAATTCATTGCTCCTGCAGGAGTTTGCACTGCATTAAAAAAATCCTGTGCAAATGCAATCCCGAATTTGCAGTGCATGCTCATTTAAATTCCTCATACTGTGCAAAATCAGCTGCTTTCTCCCCCTATACACAAGTGGTGATGTGGTGATTCGATTGCACTTGAAATCATGTCAGATCCTCGGTATGGGAGCATATTTCTCAGGACTATGGCTTCCCCTCCCCCCATTCGATTAAGCTGGGATCTCCAGATTTAGATCCTCATAGCCTCGGTATACTGTTAGGCCTCATAAAGCCCTGGTTGTTGGATGCATCCAGTGCTGCTGCTGCTGCTGCTGCATCGTTAGTTGGAGTTACTCTGGTTGAAACCCTCTCTGAAAGAAAGGCTCAGATACTACATCCTTATTTCCTTCCTGGATAAACACGTGTTAATATTTAAATCGAAGGGATGTCAATGAATTACCCCGTGATATGTCTTATAGTAGGTTTAGTATTTGACCTCAGGGTTTTTCCTGGTTAAGAACGAGCCTTTGAGCGTCGAATACTCAGAACATGAGACGTGATTGGTCTGTGCATAGTAAAATCTGTTGCCTTATTTGACAAATAAATGTATTTTACTGTTTCTCATTGAAAACAAGTGAAGCCCAATTAACAAAACTGGTTTTAAAAAGCTAATTTATTGTCTGAATGCTGAATTCTTGTTATTTTGGCCCTTTGACGCTGGTTAAAACCTATTTGGGGGGGAAAAAATCCTCTATACTTGATCATCTTTGGATCCAACTGTTCTAGTGAGGCCATGCTAACTATAAGAATAACAAGAAATGTGCTCAGGTTTCCTTAGTTTAGTGGCATCATGACAAGGATTAGAGTGTGCAAAGTTATTTTTTGAGCCATGCTGCACTAATCTATGTGTCTGTAGTCAATAATTTAAAGAAATACTGTCTGTCTGCAGCTTCTAATCACACCGGCTTTAACAATTTATTGTGTGTTTTTATGTTTAACAGTGCCGACGTCGTGCTTTGAGGCAGGAAAGGTATTGTTAGGTCTCTGATCTGTAACAAGTCATCATCATAGATGTTTTAATTTAGTCTATTAAGATAATAATAATAATTGATCAGATTTATAAAGCGCTTTTCTTACTCAAGGAGTAACTCAAAGCGCATGCAATCAACTGTCAATTATTCATTCACACACATTCATTCTGGTGGTGGTGGCTACGATTATAGCCACAGCTGCCCCGGGGCAGAGGCGTGGCTGCCATTCTGCCCCTCCGACCTCCACCTCAAACAATCCATTCATACGCATTCACACAAGGTGGGTGAGAGTCTTGCCCATGACACAGGTTACAGGGCGGAATCGAACCGCCCGATCATTGACCGACCCGCTCTATCACCTGAGCTACAGGCGCCCATTAGCTGCAGCTGTTTTTCCTGGAGTCCAACAGAATTATACACAAGAAAACAGAACAATATCCCCGTCCCGTGTCACTCCATTGATGAATAGCTTTCCTGAGTAGACGTATCAACACATTGTCCTTAACAGCGTTCCTCCTGAAAGGAGGCGGGAACAGAAGCAGCTGATTGGCCGTTTAGAACCGCCTGTAACACCACAAGTTATACAGTCATGGTGAAATGAAGCATGGTTGCAGTATTTTGAGCTGAAAAACTGAACGACACGCTGTGGGGGACATGTGAGACTTTGAATGATTTGCTAAAAAGGGCACAAGTAAAGTCAGTTTTATGATGGTAGAATTTACATCATCTCTATTTGAAGAGTTCATTTGCAACATGCAAAATGCCACAGCTACTCTTCCTGAGGTCCAACAGAATTATATATAAACAAGAAAACAGGAAAATATTGTAAAAACAAAGGAAAACAAAAGCCACGTGAGCGTTCCTCACATTTTGATATACACATTGTGAGAAACTATCTTGTGCATTATCATTTCATTATTATATTTTCTGTATATATGTACATATATTTCAACCATATATACATGTCATATATACAGATCTGCCTACACTATACTATACTATACTATACTATACACATACAGATGTGCTACCTTGACACAGCATCTGTCCTGAAGCTGAGCTAACTGACTAGCCGATGCTAAAGAATCAGACTTTAAACGTCTCTCCACATCACCCTGCAGATGTTACAGGATGTAGTTTGCTATTGTGAACATTTTATTAGCCACGTACTTGCCAAACAAACTGGATAGACACTTATTTTATTTTGCTGCAGAACAAAATGTTGTTTTTTTGGCGTCTACTCGTTCAGGTCAGTCGTAAAAGAGCAAAGAGGAGGCAGACGTTAGAGTCGAAACCGAGCTCCTGTGAAGGACGTTTGTTGAGCCTGTCACAATGTGCTGAGCCAACCCTTTAAGCAACTGAAAGCAAACAGAGATCACGTTCTGGTAAACATTATACTTACACCACAGGTTCCTGCTGTGTTATGTCATTAAAATGAGATTAACTCATGTGCTCGCCATGACCTTTTAAAGCCGCAGCGCTCGCTTATCGCAGCCGCAAATCACCGCCTTTTAAACGGTTGTTGAGAGAATCACATGAAATTCAAATATGTTTCTTAAATTGTGGATTTTATCTCGTGCATTTGTTGTTGTACGTTTTATGAAGTTCCAGTCCAAACTTTGCTCTTTGCAGGCGGACAAGCGAGCACATCACAACGCGCTGGAGCGCAAACGCAGGGACCACATTAAAGACAGCTTCCACAGTTTACGAGATTCTGTGCCTGCATTACAAGGAGAGAAGGTGAGAAGAAAACACAATCATTACCCTGTTTTTGTTGTGGAGTTACTTTAAACATGCCTGCAAAGAAATATACTAAAGTTTAGACACAGGGGCTGTCACCTTCGCTGCACGTCTCAGGGCTCAGCAGCCTTGTTCCAAAAAAAAGTGCCGACTCAGAGTTTCTGTCATTGTGCCACCTCAGCACATTCCATCTGAAAAAAGCAGCGACTTTAACGCTGTCACTCAAATCTAGCTCTGAATGCATCCGTTTTACTGGTGTTGAAGCATCTCTGAAATGTTGTCTGAAGGATCTGAGCTGCTGCTAAACACTTATCAGCTCAGATGAACCCTCTTGTGTCGAGGTCACTGCTCACATTTGTGTTTCGCAATATTTCTATGTTGACCTGAAGACAGTCAGAAAAAGTTCAGGAGATGTTTCTGTGGCACTCGTGAGCAGCAGGTGAACACTCGGGTTTGTCATCTTGAACTCAGTCGCCCTTATATTTAAAGCTGCTTCGTCTCATCAGCAGCATTTTTAGGGTTCATGTTGTTAAATTACTTTTGTGAGATTTTCCAGTTTTTGCTGTCAAAGCCGATGATAGTCAGTAGTGGGCGACTCTCTTACATGTGGGTCATTTCATCCCAAATCATAAAACTATTACAACAACTTTTACCATCTTTGATTCACCTGAAACATTTCGAGGATGAAATATACAGTTATCTAAATTTAAAGTTGAAATATGAAAAAAAAAAGCCCCGTCTTTGAGCACAGATTAGCTTAAAGTTGATGATGCAGGATTGAATTAGTGATATTTTCTGAACTGTGTACAAACAAAACATACAGAATAGGAAATGATTGTCATTGAAGTTTCATTACTGATTGAGCAAATATGAGAAGTTGTACCACAAATACAAAGATAATGCTGGATAGCTTGAGCCAAGTAGAAGAGTTTTGAAGTTTTGAAATGTTTTTTACATGCTTAACTAAGAAAATATTGTTTTAAATCTGGATGTTTTTGTTTTTGGAGCCCATTTTGTAGACTGGAGAGTTGATTGTTAACTTAAAGTGAATGTACAGCTCCCTCCATAATTATTGATTAAGATGTGTTCTTTAGCTTCTAGTAAATTCAGTGTTTTTCTAAATAATTTAGGACCACAATGAAAAAAAAGAGGAAAATTCAACCTTTAATTCAAGTGCATTTATTCAGTGTGAAAAAAATCCCACATTAAAAAATAATTATTTTACATCAAATCATGTGGCCACAATTATCAGCACCCTTGATTCATTTGAGTTGAGTTGAAGGTGACATTTTTCTACACTTTTCAGTGTGAGAGGATGCTTCTGCAATAAAAACTGAATTTATTTTAAGGCTTGTAACACATCTTAACCAGTAATATAGAGGGCGCTGTTCTTACTGAGATCATGCACTTATTGTAAGAAACGCTTGAAGGTAAGTTTTTACATTTACATTTGCTTTTATTTTCTGTTCTAGCTTCTGTTATTGTTGCTCTGAACGGCCAAGTTTATTCCCAATGTAACACAAAACAAGAGATTCCATTTGGATCCTATTGAACTTTTTTAAACAGTACTTGATATATTAATCTATAATTTCACATAGTGACCTGATATTTAACATGGAATCTTCTGAACTAGAAAAAAGAGAGAACTGTCATTTGTAAGGAGGCCATGCACTGATGCAATGTGAGATTTAAGGTGTTTGTTTGGTCCTTTAGTATCTGAGAATCGTTTTCACCAGCTGATTCATGTCGTCTGTAGATTTTTACAAACTTGTGGGCCTTCTCAGCAGTCGGTGGGCGACTCCATAGACGTTGCAGCTTCGCCACTTAGATATTTAGGTTTCTTCTTTTCGGACAATAGAATTTAGGAGATGGTTCTTCACCTTACATGTTTCGACTGGAACTTCAGTCCTCCGTGACGTGTCATTTATTTCGTGTTCCTTATGGGCGTATAAATGCCAAATAAATGACACGTCACAGCGATCAGCTGACGCCTCTGAGGAAGACTGAAGTTCCAGTCGAAACATGTAAGGTAAAGAACCATCTCCTAAATTCTATTGTCTGAAAAGAAGAAACCTAAGTACGAATTCAGAGTAGAAAAAATGAACTTGCTGGACGTATTAGCCACTTAGAGTTCATGGCTGTTTCATAATTGGTGCTAAAAGAGCAACAGGTCTAATATAGTCTGCAGGTGTCATTGTTCTATTCTGCAATATGCTCGTGTTGGAATAGTTCTTGTTAACCGTACTTTATAATCCACACTAATTAGAGCATGCATGTACGACAGTGTGATCGTAGTCTTGGTGCAGCTGATCAGATGAGTGAATAACATGTTGTGCCTGAACAAAGAGACACTGCCGCATTGCCCCATGGTTCTGTGACATTTTTGCTGACAGAATTCTATTAAACAGGCTTCCCGAGCACAGATTCTAGACAAAGCCACGGAGTACATCCAGTACATGAGGCGAAAAAACCATACCCACCAGCAAGACATCGATGATCTGAAGAAGCAGAATGCACTGCTGGAGCAGCAGGGTGAGCAGAGGAGGTTTTCTCAAAGTGTCACGCTGTCTTTTAGGTCCAATATGCGATAGAGTGCTCCGCTGTATCTCATGTCTTGTTGCCTCTGCTTGCAGTTCGTGCACTGGAGAAGGCCAAGGGGAACACTCAGCTCCAGACAAACTACTCTTCTGACAGCAGCTTGTACACAAACCGTAAAGGGAGCGCGGTGTCCGCCTTCGACGGCGGCTCCGACTCCAGCTCCGAGTCAGAGCCGGACGAGCCGCCCAACAGAAAGAAGCTGCGCGTGGAGCCCAGCTAGACTCGGGCGGCCCCCCCCAGCCCGGCTTTTGAGACTCTTTGTACCCACCAGCCCCAGCTCCTCTTACCTGTCCGCACTGAGTCCTGCCTTCTTACGCCAGTCCAGGAGACACGGTGGCGACTGTGTGAGAGAGGTGCTGTCATGTATAAAACGCTTCTACCTTCCTTTGTCCTCCTGGCAAGCATCCTGTCACTCCTTTTGTGGCCCAGCAACAACAACAACTTTTAAGATCCCCCAAAGTGAGGCAGCTCTGCAGTTTTGAAGAACTTGATGCTTTTACAACCTCATGGTAACCATTCATAATCAAACGTGGAAATGACAAGGTATGAGGCTTTAGTAAAGCTACGAGAAAAACACAAAAACAAACAAAAAAAACTTTTCTTTGTTCTGGTTGTTTTGAACAACCTCTGCAATCTGTTAGAGTTGTGAAACTTTCCCGCCTTTGACAAATGCTAATTAGGGATAGTTTACCTTTTTAATATTCATATTTTTCCAGAAAAGAATGTGAAGTTGCTTTTGAGAAAAAAAACAAACTGTCTGTTACGCAAGATGCAACCCTCCTTATTCAGTGTAGGTGGCTGAAGTTTTTGTCTTTGAAATGTTTGTGTAATCAAATGAATCCCTCTATTTATAGTGATGCACCAAAATTAATTTCTTACCCTTATATATATATTCTTATGTCTGATCTCCATCGCGTTTGGCTTGAGATTTTCCAGAGAACACGGGAGGATGAACGGGTTGACCTGCTGTTTTGGTGGATTTTCACAGGTTCAACGATCCTCTATTTTTATTGTTATTATTAAATAAAATGTGGGTATAAAATAATACAAAAAAAATCCCCTAATGGATACTGAATGTTACACAATGCAGTTAAAGGGCAGTGACCTTTATTTTTGTTAATGGAAGTCCATTTCAGTGTGTAGTATATAACACTGTATACTCTTAAATGGTGTCAGTTCTGCAAAGAAAAAGCCTTCCCTTGAAATATTTGCCTGTGCTGGGAACGTTTATCTTTCTTTTGTTCTTTTTCTTTTTCTTTTTTTTCTTTTTCTTTTTTTTTTTTGCAGAGGTAAATTAGTGTGTACGTAATCGATATTTGTTTGTTCCATTCCATGGAAATTACAGGTATGTTGTACATACTGCCAACGGTTGTCTTGCAAGTTGAGGCATACCTTTATTATGAGACTATAAATAAAACTATTTTATCCTTTTTGGATGTATTTGTGACTCAGCGTGTGTTAAATACGTTCCACCAGGTGTTGATAGCGCAGCGTCCTCAGGGTTTAAAGGTGAGTTATGAGTTCGCTCATTGATTAAACGCTAATATCTCGAATTTTTTCCATTATAATAATCCTATCCTGCCTTAAAATGGCTCACATGTAGCTACACCAATGCTCCCTTTAGGATGTGCGTTGTCCTCTTCACTCACTGCAGCTCCAGCACACCAGCTCACATACAGTCCTCCTCAAATGTATTCATAGCCTGCCATTTAAAAAAGGCAAAATTCACGATAGTCACTCAAATAAGTAGAAACTGAAAAAAGTAATAATAAATAAAAATTTGCTAAATTATAATTGAGTGAAATAAGATATTGTTTTTGAATTGTGGTTGAAAAGAATAAATACATTTAAAAAAAAAAACAGAAAAGTGTCCCGGACAAATTCGAGCACTTTGCTGATGGGCCAAAATCAAACAGGCGCAGAAGTCTGACTGAGAGTTACAGAAAACACTTGATTGCAGTGATTAAAGGGCTGTTCAACTAAATATTAGTTTATGGGTCCCATCATGCTTGTTTATTTTTTATTTTTTTAATATTTCTGTTGAACCACAACTCCAAAGCAATGTCATGATGTTCATTCAATTTTTATTATTACTTTTGTCAGTTTCAACTTGTTTCAGCTGTTGTTTTATAATAAGAGCAATGATACCTTCATTTATATATCACCTTTACAAAACAGTTTCATAAAGCAGACATTAAAATACAGGAAGGACGAAACAAAACCGCCAAAAAAAAGGGAAAGAAATGTAAACAATTCAAAAGTATATCAAAAACAACATAACAAATTATATTTTTTACAAAGCAGTGAAATACACAAGAACAAAATCAACAAAAGATCATTAAATCAATTAAGAGAAGGGCTAATGATAGAGAGTTATCAGTCATGTTTCAGGACAACAGACTGACGCTGACAGTCCTTCACTGTCAGGTAGATGATGTGTCTGTACTCAGGCTCTCATTTAGGACAATAAACGATATGATTCATTGTTTAAATGTTTAATTTAGCCCCAGCTCAGAGTGTGATCTGTGTCCAGACACTCCTGCTGCAGGAAGCCAGCAGCCTCTTCTAGGATGCAGGTTCTACGCCGCCTTCAAGGGCCGTAGGAAATCTCACTAATCAGGTAGTAGCTCGCTTCGAAACGTGAAAAACAACTTTATTTTGAACAGTGTCATAATTTCAAAGCATGATAATAACACAAAAAACTAGATGGAAACTAAAACTAATGTTGCTTTGACAACAAGTTGATTTCCGAGCTCAGCGTGATAATTTCCGAGGGTGTTTGAAGGCGGCGCCGGAGCAGAGGACATCAGCCGCATGAAGCAGTCATGTTTCCTCCTATATGTTAGTGTTTGGACATGGCCAAACAGTACGACATCCTGTTCAGGCTCATCATGCTCGGAGACTCGGGGGTCGGGAAGACGTGCATGCTGCGCCGGTTCACCGAGAGCGAGTTTGATCCTTCACACATTTCCACCATCGGTAAGTCATCCAACAAGTTTTCAGGGACGCCTGCGTCTGCACTCACCATATGGGTGGCTGGTGAGCCACAGGTTGGACCAGATCAGCACCACGGGGGACTTTCTGACATTACTCTGGGATTTATTATTTAGTTTTTTTCCCACCAGCACAATTGAATTTGTTCTTTTGTTCAGATTGTAGCAGTAGGCCTACTCAGCCAGCAGGATTATATCAGCCATGCAAGCCACTCCAAAAGCTGCACTTACAAGAATAAGTCCATTTTCTGAAAGCCAAAAAAAAAAAAAAGTGAAAGTGAAATCCCAAGCAGACTGGATGGAGGTGCCATTATTTCCTCTGCTTTCACGTGTTTTTTTTTTTTTTCCTCCCACACTGATGATTCATTAGTGCTTCACATCTCCGCTGCCTGCTTTCCTGACTGTGTCACACACTAATGACTTTCAGGAAGGTGGTGGGGCCAGTTTGACACAAAAGACTAAATTATTTCCCAACAAAGTGGTCAACACACACACACACACACACACACTCTACAATGGCAGAATATGTCCTGTAGGTTGCTACAGGAGAGAACAGTGGAGCATAATTCAGCAGGGTGGGAGAGGCTTTGCATAGGATTAAACCCAGTTATTTGGAAAAAAAGAAAAAAAAGTGCATAGTACGTGAAATCTCCTTGCTTTCAGATGTGTGGAACGGTGATTATTGGCAAGACTGAGGGGGACCAAATCTGCAAGAGGTTGTTCCTCTCATAGGAAAAACTCAAATTTAAATAGGAACCTCCTGCCATTGTGCAAACATGTATGTGAAATATCTGTAAATGATATGGATTTTCCTCCATTTAAATAGCTTACTGATATGTATACCGGGTGGCTGTGGCTCAGGTGGTCCTCCAGTCGCAAGGTTCGATCCCCCTCCCCTCCACAGTCAAAGTGTCCTTGGGCAAGACACTGAACCTGAAGTTGCTCCCATTGGCAGGCAGCACCTTGCATGGCAGCTCTGTCGCCATTGTTGTGTAGGAATGTGTGTGTGAATGAGAAACACATTGCTATATAAGCATAACCATATATACGTTAAATCATACTAAACAAAACACACATGTGCTGTCACAGCTCAGTCAGGAACAGAATGTGTTGTTGTGTCAGCATAACTTCAGCTCTTTCCACATTTGTCGTTAACGTCGCCATCTGTGACTGATTCTCTGTCCGATCTGCATTTTTCTAAAATGTTGCTTGATGCTTCGCGGCTTCTGCAGTGTGTGTTTCCCACTTTTACAGTTTTTGTTCTTGTATAGAAGTCTAAAGGATTCTATTTTTCAGGGCTGCAAGGTGGATCGGTGGTTAGCACCGTCACCTCTCAGCAAGAAGGTCGGACACCCGGGATCTTTCTGCGTGGAGTCTCCATGTTCTCCCCGTGCAGTGTGGGTTCTCTCTGGGTTCTCCGGCTTCCTCCCACACAGTCCAAAAACATGTTGAGGTTAATTGGTGATTCTAAATTGTCCGTAGGTGTGAATGTAAGTGTTGGTTTTCTGTCTCTAAGTGTAGCCCTTCTACTTTTCAACTAATTTGCTGCCTCAGTAAACACGTTCCTCATGAGTTTATGGTCTCATCTGCCAGCTTCAGGTCTCCTTCAATGCAGCTTTGTGTTCTTTTTGTGAATCACAGTCCCGTTTAAATTCAAATAGTGTCGCTACTGTATGAGCCAGCCTGGTGTATTGGAGGTTTCACTCAGATGCACCCCTCGCTCATCACGTCTGGCTTCAGGGGACACAAGGTGGCGACGACCAATCTCACGGGTTAGAACAGTAGTCCTATAAACCAGTGGATTTGTCACAGAGGTTACGTTTGTCTTTTATACACAGTCCATGAGAAAGCCACCCTATAATACTATAACCAGTAGTTAGCTTTAATCACAACATTTCTCATGATTGGAAACCCGGAAGTGGCACCATCGTCACAAGGCCTTCTTCTCCAAGCAGTAAAATGTGAAGGTGTTCTATCCAGCTCATTTCCTAACCTTAGCACTTGCCTTCACATGAGAGGTGTCCCTATGAAGAAGCATCTCTTTATTAAAACAGATTTCACAACTTGTTTAGGAGGACAAAAACATTCCATCCATCCATTATCTACACACCGCTTAATCCTCACAAGGGTCGCGGGGGGGCTGGAGTCTATCCCAGCCAACTCAGGGTGAAGGCAGGTTCACCTGGACAGGTCACCAGTCTATCACAGGGCTACACTTAGAGACAGACAACCAAGCACACTCACATTCACACCTACGGACAATTTAGAATCACCAATTAACCTCAACATGTTTCTGGACTGTGGGAGGAAGCCGGAGAACCCGGAGAGAACCCACGCTGCACGGGGAGAACATGCAAACTCCACGCAAAAAGATTCCGGTGCTCCCACCGGGACGCGAACCGGCAACCTTCTTGCTGCGAGGCAACGGTGCTGCGAAAACATTCCTCTTTAGATATTACATTTGTGCGTCCAGTGTACAATTGGTGGGGTAACCTCATCGTCTCCAGCACTGAAAGTATTGTTGTTTTGCTTCTTTTTCAAAGTCTTTTGTTGTGTTTTGATTGGACAACAGTGCATGGTGGTCACACAGGGCATGTTCAGACATTGAGGGGGATCTGTCCCCCTCAGTCCTGATTCAAACCTTACATGATGAACATGAGTCAGCCTCATCCATCCCTTCATGTCGAGAGCTGTTGGAACAAGAGGACAGTGACGGGCAGGCCGAACGTCTGAACGCACGGCTTTGCATATGTTGCATAAACATACACAAATGAAGTGGGAGCATCAGATCTTAACACGGGAGGCTTGTGTCAGATGACAGAGAGGCTTTTTGTCTTTGAGGAAAGAAGATTGCAAATGTAGCACAGCTGTTGTTTTAAAAGGAAAAATCAAATAGTAACGTCTGAATTCGTCCCTCCTTAAGTCAGACATCAGAGACGAGCGGCCACAGCGATGATGTTTTCTGACGGCGTATTCAGGAACAGCTTACTTACAGACACTGAACACATCATTTTGCTTGTACGAACAGCTGCATCTTCTGACATCAAACTCATTTTGATGTAATGTCTCAAACAAAATCCTGCCCGCTAGTCGAGTCATTCTCTACTTGACAGTGTTTATGATGGGATGAAGTTCATTGATCCCACACAGGAGCCGTAAAGTATTACAACAGCAAAGGTAAACACGGATGTATGTGCAGCGTGCTCTGCTCCAGTTTGCTGCAGCAAAATCAAATGAAACGACATGTCGACTGAGCGATTAGTTGATCTGACATGAAATAATCTTTCTGTTTGTCTTTTCCTTGTGAGACATGTCGGCGAGTCACGGTACAAGAAGGGTGTAACGGCCTGGCTTCTGTTTTAGCTGCTTCAGTTTCAGGGTGTTGTTGCTGATTCACTGTCACGCTGTCGTGGCTTGAAATGAATAATGTTATTAGTGACACCTGCCTTGAAAAGACCTGTAATTGAGCTGTTTAATTCATTTTATTTTCCGTACAAAGATGCAAATAATTATCCTGTTACCTGTTCTTGGGATAATCTCGTTGTTTTATTTGATAATAAACAGGTTTTCTGACTGCATAATGGGTATTTTTTGGCATTTAGTGACAATTTTAGGTCAAATGCTGAACAGAATACTTCAAAAAGTAATTTGCAAATCAATTAATAACCGTTAGCTGCAGCTATTTTGTATATTAGAGTCTAGATGACCGACCTTAAAAGCCAAGATATTATTAAAAGCATCCAACATATCCAGTATGTACAGTCGTCCTCAAATGTATTCATACCCTCCTATTAAAGAAGGAAAAAAACAGAAAAATAAAATTTTAATGAAAGTCATGACATTGCTTTTGAATTGTGGGGTCTGCCCCAATCTTAGAACATTTTGGCAGCAGGAGGTCTTTCAAACTCCATCCATGGTCTCTGGGGTAATTATTCCACTTGACCCCCTTTTAGTCTTATTTGGTTCTTACTCAGGGAACCACAAAGTCTCCTCTGATGTCATGTCGTCAGTCACTTCCCTTCTGGCCAGGTGTGCTATTCTGCTCAGATGGATCCCAACCTACAGTCAGTGGCTATCAGATGTAATGTCCTGCCTGAGCCTGGAACAGATCAGGTACTCAGTTCAGAACCAAGGGGGGGAATTTGAAGAAGTATTCTAATCCCCACTGATTGTACTTCCATCCACCCTTAGTTTATTTGCTCTAATTTCAGTTCAAGACCAGGAAAGAGGAAATAAAGATCAGGAAAGAGAAAAGAACTTGACATCCAGTCTTGTGCATTTCTTGCTGCTTTGGAGACTTGTTACCAGTGTCACTCTCTAATTATGTTGGTTTTTGCCAGAAATGTTTTGCAGATTGAGCCATGATTTTTCTTGTGTTGTTGTTGTTGCTGTTTTTGTTGTTGTTGTTGTTGTTGTTGTTGTTGTTGTTTTTGATTGCTTTGTCTTTTTCACTTTGGTTTTGGGTTGTCACTGTACAAATATTCTGCATCGACTTTGTGCTCATCACTACTTTTTACTTTATGCTGCTGTGTAACGCACAAAGGAAATCTTTACATGTTGATTCTCTTTGAAAATTCAATAAAAAGATCATTGATTTTAAAACAAACAAAAAAAAAAGCATGATGGGACCCGTAAATGTCTATTTTGTTGAACGACCCTTTTGATTTTGGCCCACTGCTCATCAGCAGAGTGCTCTAATTTGTCCGAGATAGGTTTTTTTTTTTTTTTAATTATTCTTTTCAACCACAATTCAAAAGCAACATCTTATTTCACTAAATTATAATTTAGCAAATTTTTATTTATTATTACTTTTCTCCATTTCTTGTTATTTGAGTGACTATTGTTAATTTTGCCTTTTCTTTAATGGGACGGTATGAATACATTTGACTGAAGTGCCTGAATGGACTTTGTAAACGTCCAGATGTTGTTTTGTAGCATCCAGCGCTGTTCAGTCACATTTCTTCACTTCTCTCTCCTGTCGCCGAGCAAGAAAAAACCCTCTTTATGCTTGTTTACATCACTTGCGCCCCCGCTTTGTGAGGACACAGTGATTTAAAAGTTGACATTGGCGCTGCTGTTCATTACAGATAATAGTGTCTCCGAGCAACACTCGCAAACACACAATAGTCCGTGTAAAGTAGCACAAAGTGGGATTTTTCACCGATTTGTCACAGTTGCTGGAGTGATTCCAGTTTATTTGTAATGCTGTTTTTCTTCTGTTCATGCTGCTTCCAGGGAAATAAAATGTGTTTTCTCTGTTTTTAGGAGTTGATTTCAAGATGAAAACAGTCGAGATAGATGGAATCAAGGTCCGAGTACAGATCTGGTATGTGGAAAAGTTGTGTTTGTCTATAGTATTTGATCACGTTTACAGTGTGTTGTCATGCATGTTGTGTGATTCTCTCCTGCTGAGGTGTGTTTTGTCGTTCTTGCAGGGACACGGCTGGTCAGGAACGCTATCAGACCATCACCAAACAGTACTACAGGCGGGCGCAGGTATGAACAATCACTGGCATTTATGTGTTGCTGCTTCCCATCTTTAATCTTTTTTTTTTCTGTGCAGGGCATCATCTTTGTATACGACATCACAAGCGAGTCGTCCTTTCAGCACATAGCCAAGTGGGCCAGCGATGTGGACGAAGTAAGGCAACAAAACGCTCTCGTTTCCCTCCTTCACACCTACCCAGTGTTTGTATTCCTGCTTCCTGAACTTTGACAGCGCGCCGCAGTGGCTTAGCGTGAGTGACAAGATGATGAAGTCCTTGATCCCCGCGCTGTTTTTGTCTTCTGCTGTTTTCCTGCAGAACGCTCTCGACAAGGTGCAGACAATCCTGGTAGGAAACAAGTCTGATGAGGAGCCCAGGAGGAAAGTGACAAAGGACCAAGGAAGCAAGGTTCGATTGAGCTTCAGTTCGTGCAGGGACGTAGCTGTTGTGGTGTTTGTGCAAGACTGTGCATGAAAGCTACTGAACATTGAGAATAGATTGTGTTTTTGGTACTTGCATTTCAACAAAGGGTTAACATGGGAGTGACTTTAGTATTTTAATAGCCCAACCAGTAGGACTGAACGATTTGGAGAAAACGCCGAACTGCAATTTGTCTTATGGACATTGCAGTCTAATAATTTTTAAAAGGTCAAGCTTCAGATCAACATTCATCTTGTAATAGATCTAAAACATGTGATGTAGTGTAACCCTGTGAGAGTTGGTGGCTCAGTGGAGGACATTTCTCTGCAACATGAATGTAATGTTTCCTCATGTTTGTGGACCACATTGGGCTAGTGAGGGTGACTGTGATTGGGAGGACAGCATGAAACCAGTGTTTAAACCCCAGATCAGATGCACTGCATAATGTAGATTCTAGTAGATTACGCGACTGTCAATGACTTCCTGGGCTGCACACACAGAAATGACGGCTACTTCCAACTACGCCCAGGGAAACTCCAGACTGTCTGTTTGCTAACTGCATTGTTTCACATTGTGATGTCAGATTAATTCATCGTTTAGCCCTACGAACTCCTACGAAATCATGTGTATGCTTAGAAAAAGTACTATGAAGCACCTTTGCTCCGCCTATTTCTAACTATGTCCATCTCATAGCTCGCAGAAACCTACGGGATGGAGTTCTTTGAGAGCAGCGCTTCCACCAACAGTAATATCAGCGAGGTACTCCAAACAAACTTTCTGCCACATCAGTAATACGTCTGAGGTGTGTCCGAAAAGTTTCAGGACTGGTGTCACAAAAGATATATTTCAAACCCAAACTACAAGTTTTCCCCTTCATAGTAATCCTCCTGGAGTCGAACACACTTTACCAGCCTTCTCTATCACGCCGCCTGGAAGGATTCATCCAGGATCCTCCATCGTCACTGCCATCTTGATGTCCACGTCTTCAAAACGGGTCCCCTTGATGACCCCCTTGAGCTTGGGGAAGAGGAAACAAACCCACGGAGCCAGGTGGGGTGAGTAGGGAGGTTGCTCCAGCACGGAGATGTTCTTCTCAGCCAGGAACTGTGGGATGCTCAGGGTGTTGTGAGCAGGTTGTCGTGGTGAAGCAGCCACGACTTGTCCTGCCACAACTCTGGCCTCTTCTCGAACGAAGCGAACACCACAGGATCTCTTTGTAGACGTGCTGGTTGATCGTCTGAAGGGGAAAGCTCCTAGTTTGTAGTTAATACATCTTCTGTGACACCAGTCCTGGAACTTTCCTGACACACCTCGTACACACTTCATAGGGAATTCCCTGCAACATTCTTTTTTTTCCTTTATTTGTCTGTGCATAATCTTTTTCCTCTTCCTCCTTCCTCCAGTCATTCATTCGTGTGACAGAACTGGTGCTGCAGGCTCACAAGAGAGACGTGGACATGTTGTTCGGCTCTCTGGATGATTATCTGGACAAGGCTGCTCAGGAGGAAGAGAACCGGAGTCAGGAGAACGATGGCGGCGCTCGGAGGACCTGCACCTGTTAAAACCACAGGACCTTCTCAGTGCCATGACTCGTAGCTGAAGACACGTGACTTGATTTCACCCTCTTTGACAGTTTGACTTGTCGGTCATGAGGGTTGCTGGGTTGTTGTTTTCTTTGCAAGTTTAAGAATTGAAATGGTGGTAGGTGCAGTTTGCAGAAGCTACCAGCAGACGGCCGATTCCAAGGAGGCAAAACCATCAACACACACAAACACTCATCCCTTTTCCTTAAAATGCAGTTTTGCACTACATCATCAGTTTACTGTATTCCATCTTGTTTGCTTTCTTGTTCTTTTTTTTGTTATTATTCAGTCGTTGCACAAAGTAAAGCACGCATTCATATCCACAAATCTTTTCAGCCAAGTGACAAGACTATAGAGGCAACAGCAAAGTAGCCCGAGGATAGAGCTGAATTATTTACACGGAGAAACTCGACCCAAGCAGGGATGGATTCATTTACAGGGTGGACTTATTTCCTCAAGGGAGACAGTGTTGTGCCATGTTCAGTGATCTATCTGAATGCGGCGCATGCTTATTTACCATTCTGATTGTTTGTTTTATGAATGTGACCGGCGTTGTGCATTGAAGCAGAGCTGCTGCTGCTGCTGCTGCTGCTTAAAATATGATGTTCAGGTTCTGCAGAGGTGCCACAGATGTGTCATTTTTAAGGTGATGTTTGCAGGTTTTTTTTGCAAAAGAAAAATTGAATAAATGTTTCAAGTAAATGAATTGTGTATCCGAGACTTGCTGAGTCATTGGATTAGAGCTGGAAGATTGAAATTAGGTCCAGGGAGAGTTCACGCGGTGGATTCATTCATTTTTCATCACGTGCTGTGAAGGATAGGGGATCACATGTTGAATCTTTGATGACTGAGAAAATGGGTACACGTCAAAGGGGTATGTTAAAGCTGAATACATGTCGTAGTACACGCTGGTTTCATCTCTAAGCGACTCTTTGAATTGAGGATTTATAATCAAATACGTTGTCAGGATGGTAACCCAACACCCGACTGACAGCAGCTGATATAAAGGCAGTATAACAACATATAAACACTTTTTATAGCTTTTACTGAATTGGATAACACCATCTTTGTTTTAAACCATGCAAAACACTTCATGTACCTGTGTGCTTATCTATCCGACGCTTGTGAAGAGTGTCGTATGTCAGCTGGAGATCAGGTTCCTGCAGAGTCACCCGACACCCCTGAAAGACAACTTTCTGCCCCGAGTGAGTCAGGTGACCCAAGCGGTTCGGATACAGTCGCACGCCGACATCCCGTCTGCCTCCAGTGTGGCAGCACAGTGGACGAGATGACGTTCATCGCCAAGACCTTCTACGACCTGAGGGCCACCACGCTGGAGGGCGACTCGGTGGACTTCAACGTGTTCCGGGGCCGGGTGGTGCTCATAGAGAACGTGGCCTCGCTCTGAGGCACCACCACCCGGGACTTCAGCGAGCTCTACCAGCTGCAGAGCAAGTACCCCCATCGGCTGGTGGTCCTGGGTTTTCCCTGCAACCAGTTTGGATACCAGGTGAGCTGATGGTTGTGATCCACTTGCTTTAAATGACCTCACATGCCCATCAGGATGTCAAACCTGTTACAGAACAGTTTCTAGATTAAAAAAAACAGTTTTTCCAAATCACTTGAATCCCACTTGGTGTTCAAAAGCTGTTTCAGCCTTTATTTGATCAAACCAAGCGTTGGAACTCTTCCCGCAACCCAGCGAGGCCAAGTTTCACTTCTGAAAAATTGACTTTCTGCCACGTTTGCTTCACCCAGTGAGGCTGATTGCCGCTACAGTATTCCTGCACAAAGTGAATCAAAAGAACAGATTTAATAGCGTTCAAACTGCATCTTGTACTTAAGCTTTGATAGTGCAATAAGATTTTAAACATCTACCATAAAAGGCCTCATTAAAGTAAACACTTTTGTTCTGCAGGAGAACTGCACTAACGGTGAGATCCTGAACTCCCTCCATCATGTGCGTCCAGGCAGCGGCTTCACGCCCAACTTCACCATCTTCCAGAAGTGCGACGTCAACGGAGCGAACACGCACCCGGTCTTTGCCTATCTGAAAGACAAGCTCCCCTATCCTGACGATGACCCCACCTCCCTCATACAGGATCCCAGATTTCTGGTCTGGAGTCCCATCAGCAGGACGGACGTATCCTGGAACTTTGAGAAGTTCCTCATCGGGCCGGAAGGAGAGCCCTTTAAAAGATACAGCAAAAAGTTCCCCACCATCGACGTAGAGCCCGACATTCAAAGACTGTTGAGATTAACTAAGAGCTAAGAATAGTCTCCACCTCCTAATGGCTTTTCATCCGTAACTGTCAGAGCTGGCACGCTGTCCTCCACACTTTTAAGTCTTAGTACATGAGGGTGATGTTCTAAAAAATGTAAGGGAATATCATCTGAGGCCCTTTAAGTTCTTAAGAGTAGTGGACGAATAAAGTCAGTGCATTTTCGTACTTTGTGGAAACTTATTGTGAAATAAAGTTAACAGGAATTTTATAGTATAGTTCCAGTTTATATAAATGTGGGTATACTTGTGGAAAACAGTCACTTGGGTGTTTGCTTGTCCTTGTCTTGTGCTAACACGGCCAGCAGATGGCGCAACTGATTCAACCATGCGGACAGATAACTTCTGTTATGCTTTTATTAATTAACATTCACCACACACGCTCACAAAATGTTTGCACTGGAATAAAACCCTAAAAACCGAAGTGGTCTCTCGCTGAAGTGTTTTTTTTTTTAATTGGATCTTACATACATATATATCCTGCAAGCCACCGAGCCACCATTAAGATGCTCTGATGCAAGGTTGACAAAAATAGATTTGTCATGTCTGAAACAGCTCAGTGTAGGCATAATAATGAGGCTTGAAATACAGCAAGAAGGATGTGGAATTATTTCAAACACCCCTTTAAAATAACTCGCAGGCCATTCCTCAGCATTATGCATGCTCCGGCCTGCTGATTCCTTCTTTATTCATTGAGGTCTTCTCTCCACAGTAATTCACTAGATGTACATTTCCAAGTGAAATGTGCTGATAGCGGTAGCTCGTGCGGTTGCAGGAATGCTTTACTGCCACGGTGACACGTGAAGACGAGTCCTAAAGCGTGCGTTTGGGAGAGCATCGAGCCTGCTGTTGTGTGATGAGCTCTCATCCAGCTTTACTTTTCTATGCACTGCATGCATTGTTTGCAAGGTCTGCAGATTAGCACTGGATTTTCTGCACATCCGCTGATATCGGCTGATGATGTCACAGGCCTGGCAGTGCCCTGGTGTCTTTGGCAGGTTGCTGTGGGTACATTACCGACAGAGAAACACTCAAATCACTGACATTTGACAGCTTCGTGTTTCCTGCTTGTAGTGGCTCCGGTGGTTGTAGCCGAATCGCTGCCCTCGTGTATCAAATTTCAATATTTGTGTTGTAATGAAACATGAGGATATTTGATTAATGCATTTCCCAGCTGGCCTTGCTGGTCTGTGTTTGGCTGGAAGGAGAGCAATGCTGCCTATTAGGAGAAGCAAATATTGGAGGAACAATACCGGGGGCCTCTCCTGCACCCTCTGCACTGCTCCCCTCTACACACAGCTTGCAGAAAAATATCACCAAAGATAGTTTGCATTGGAGAGATGAGTCACTGAGTTCAATTAGGGAAGTTTGAAACAACAGAATTAGAACTTATCTTTGCGTAATGTCTTGATGTGTGATAATGAGGTGCAGGAATGGTCTGGCTGCCCCTCATTACCGCTCTGCTATAAGGAGGAAGATATAGAAAGAAGCGCTCGTTTGCATTTTGTAAGTGGAACATTTACATACAGCGAGACGAGGACTGTCCTTGAAATGCCACTTCACTATAAAAAAGGGGTTGACCTACTGCACAATCCAAATCCTCTGCAAAGAAAATTAAATGTGGAGGTTGCTGCTCAGAGGATGTTGTTGATTGGTCTCGTAGTGAGGGGATTGGAATATAAAAATGGCAATGGCATGCTTATACCTCCAATCTACATCTGTTGAGTCAGGCTAGAATAACAGCTCTCTGGTCACATGTTAGTTTCTGGTACATAAATTATGACTTTGGAAAATACTTGGGATTTGTGTGTATTTTGTGTGTCCAAACAACCCAATCATATACACATTAACACACAAAAAAGCATAATATGTCAGAATGAAAAATGCATTTTTAGACGGAATAAACCAACTCAACCAATGTGCATGTTACCATTTTCAAAATCAATACAGGAAACAACAAAAACAATTTCCCTGCAGCAGCTTACATGATGAAAACGTTACATTTTGCAGAGGATTTGGATCTTGAAGTTCGGCTAATGCAACCATGCTGGTGTGTTTTTGCAAAGAATTGGTCATTTTAATGTCAGTACTTGGGGCTGCAAGGTGGGTCGGTGGTTAGCACTGTTGCCTCGCAGCAAGAAGGTCGGCAGTTCGCATCCTGGTGAGGACACCCGGGATCTTTCTGCGTGGAGTCTCCATGTTCTCCCCGTGCAGCGTGGGTTCTTCTCCAGATTCTCTGGCTTCCTCCCACACAGTCCAAAAACATGTTGAGGTTAATTGGTGATTCTAAATTGTCCGTAGGTGTGAATGTGAGTGTGCTTGGTTGTCTGTCTCTAAGTGTAGCCCTGTGATAGACTGGTGCCCTGTCCAGGTGAACCTGCCTTCACCCTGAGTCAGCTGGGATAGACTCCAGCCCCCCATGACCCTAGTGAGGATTAAGTGGTGTATAGATAATGGATGGATGTCAGTACTTGCCTCCCTGCATGTAAATGTTACACCTAAACAGCCTTTGCTCAGCACCACCCAAGACGATTGTGGTTGGTTTAAAGTAACACAATAATGAGGTGCAGCCAGACTATTCTGGAGAATGAGCTGGCTAAGCTAGATTAGCATGAATCTCAAAACACAGCTTTACTACTTTAATGTCTTTCAAATTTTGTCAGATGTTTTTAACAGGACTCTGAATTTACAACAGTAAGCCATAAGTAACTGTAAGTATTCTGAGGAGAATTTAAAATAAAATTTAGGCAAAAGAAAGTCTAAACAAAGTAAGAACATGCCTAAATTAACCTTTTTCAGTATTTTTGGTTTAGGTGACGGGTATTGTTTTTTTTTTTTTTTTCATTTTGAAGATATATTTTACAAATAAAAAGACAGACATTTGTCTTGCATTTGGAACCAAAAATACACCAATTTATCAGAAAATGTATTTATTTATTCAATTTATAGTGTAAAAGTCTGTAATGAATACCAAAAAATATTTCACACATATCCTTTCTTGGTGTCCAGTGGACCCTGAAAGATCTTCTACATATGGCACCATGAAAGTCCTGAAAAGGGTTAAATGTTGTAACACACAACAAGGGTATTTCCTTATCCCTAAAACTCACCTCCACCCTTGTAGTTTTAAAAAATCAGTCAGAGTAACACTTCAGAACCACTGCATTTGTTTTCAGCCTCTCTATTTCACAAGTCTTTGCATAATTTCTTTTGTAGTATTGTGTGATTTGCTGTACTTGTAATCTGTTTTTATTGTTCATCTTGTTTTACATGCCGTCTCTTTACCAGGTCATTATTGAAAATATTCTCAACTAACTTGTAAAAATAAAAGGTTAAAAAATAAATTAATTAATTAAATAAATAAATGCAGCTCAGTAAGTTGGAGCTGAAGGCTGTGGGGCAGTTTTAAACCCCTGTTTCCAGACAGAGTGGGAGCTCTTCCTTCCTCCTCCTCCTCTCTCTCTCTGTGCCCACTACAGGTGAGCGCTGTTGCCACGGTAACGTTTGCTTTTCCCCTCCGAGCCCTTCTCGCGAGACTCCGGGGCAGCGAGCGAGCGAGAGAGAGAGAGAGCGAGGCAGAGAGAGAGAGAGAGAGAGAGAGAGAGAGAGAGAGAGAGAGAGAGGGGAGGCTGCCTGAATGATCTCATCCCTCCAGCAGCTGCATACCGCAGCGAGGCAAACCCGTAACTTTCTATCAAACTTCCAAGTTGCCTTTCGGAGGAGGACACCGGGGCGTTCTCGGTGCGAACCGGAGCGTTTCTTTCCCCACCACCAACCTCGAAGGCAGGCAGGCAGAGAGGGGAGAGCGCTGCGTAGTTTGGAGTGTCGGACTTCCAGCACCTTGTTACGAGTTGAGACAAAAGGAGGAAAAACCCGCTTCGTGTGTGTGTGTGTGTGACATCCAGAAAGGAGGAAAGGTGAGTGTTGTGGGAACGCGGGGCTGGTCATGTGCTTTTGTTCAGGGGGGAAGGAGGGGGTCGTCGTTAGAGGCTCAAGGTGCCTGAACACAACATCTGTCGAGGAGGACAAAGCTCATCTTTGTGCTGGCTGAAGAAGAAGAAGGTGCAGGGAGAAGCCAGTGCGCAATCAGTGCCAGTGTCTGTCTTCTTTTTTTATTTATTTTTTGGACTAACAGAGCTGCTGCTTAGTTAGAAGCGTTTGTTCCCGACTGTCAAATTACATGTAAGCGCTGCGTCGCTCTGTGTGTCAAGGACATTGTTCCCTGCTCGGCTCTGGGGAGGCGTTTCACAGGTGGCAGCACCACATACAGCATGTACGGATGTCTCCTCCACCACCACCTCCTCCACCCTGCTGCCACCCCATGAGGCATGTCAGGAACCAGGTGATCTCCTGGTGCCACATCTGTCTGACCCTCTGGTGTGTTTACAGCCCGCCTGGCTCATTATGTGGTTTTAAGCAGATTAGGCCACGCTGATGGGATGTGTTACGCTTTATTAAGTGATGATATTCCAATTTAAAATAGTCAAGAGCTGGGATGTAGCTCCGGATCTGTGAGTGTTTGTTGTGTGGGGAGGCCTGGCCACCTCCTTGGATTCACCCCGGCTGCTCACATCCATGTGGAACCCCCCAAAAAACCCCAGATCACTAGTTTCTGCATCATTATTCAATCTTATAGAGGTGCCTTCTGTTAAAAAAAATGCCCGTGCTTGTGTGTGAGATGGGTTAAAATGGATTAATTGACACAAAAAACATGAGGCCAGGAATTGTTGTAGCACCTAAGTAGTGGTTGGTATCTGGTGGATCCATTCCCAATGTACAGGCGAGATACTTCTACAGTAAGTCTTGTTTTTGTACCAATACAGACTGTTTTTCGAGATCACTGCTCCTCCTCTCATGTCATGTGTGGTGGAGGTCGGTGAACTGGGGCCCCACAATAAATTTTCTGCCCCGGGGCTCTCTAAAAGGTTAACCCGGCCATGTTTACGCTTTAAAGTTGGGATCATCTTTTGGTTTAGTTTATGAGCCTCAAACCCTGGGTTCACTTCATACCCACCCAGTCCTCATAAGTCCCCCCCGTGCTGGAGGTCTGGGTTCAGATCCTCCAGTCGGCCTCCAGTCCAGTTGCTGTGGAGAAGGGCCAGCTCGATCCGCTTTGAAATTCTGCACATGGCCGGCAGTCATGTCCCTCACTGAATGTTCAATAAGATGACATTTTGATCAGATGATCAGCTCGATGATTTATTTATGCTCAAAGTGTCGATTATACACAAAGGCAGCCTTTGTCCGCTGTGGTCACACACGCTGTTACAGAATACATATCAGTGCAACGTGAGGGAAGAGGCGAGCTCTGGCAACGCAGGGCGACAAGGCCGAGTTCTGTTTTGATAGCAACAACCGGACCATGGTGCTAGCCTTTAAAAGTTTCTATTGCGTGCAGCATTGTGTCCAAAGGGAACATATTGA